TACTCATCCTCCATGCCCTGCCTCACTTTCCACATTCTAATCATAGCCTTCTAAAATACCAACCAATAGGAAGTAATCTTTCCTTATTCTAAATAACAGGATTATTATGCTTTCCAAAAGGTACTGACTCTAATTTCTAAGCCTCTCAGCATAGCATCTTTGTCTAATTAAATAAAAATGTTTTACACATTGGATATTCTTAATATCTTTCTCCTTTTATTATTACCTTATATAATGAAATTCAGAGTACAAGATACAAACTGTATGTCTTCTATATATAAATGTATGTACACATTCGTACTCATAAACATATTTGTATACCACATCATACCTTAAATATAATATTTAAGAACAATGATCATCACAGGTTATGATTTATTTGAGAAAACTAAAATTTTCACCTAAAATATTTACGCTGAAAGCACAAATACAATTTTAGAAGAATATGTTTTCTGACTTTTATTTTGTGATAACTTCCCTCTACTGTTAGTGACATGTGGAACTAACACATCATTATTAATATTATTAGTCCCACCTAGACTTCTTATTAGGGTAGATAATTCTAACATCAGAGTTAAAATAACATGTGATGATTGTTTTTATACTTTATTGTTGTTTTTTATGCTTCTGAGAATGAGATTTCCTAACCGGAGCTTTTTTTGGATTTCACATTATATTCTTTTATTCACCCTACATGAACTTTGTCAACTCATTATTTGCAGAAAATATTTAACCCTCCAAAAGCATTTTGTTATCATGAAATGGTAACATAATAGTCTTCAATAAATGTATGATAACTCTATTATTATTTTTTAAAATCTAAATACATAGATTTGTCCTTGTATCAGGTACAGGATTTTTTAAAAATAATTGCCTCATTGTTATGAATTATTTGTATGAAGAGTGGTTATAAGCAGAAAGAAAGAAGAACAAGTGTATGTGTTAGAGCAAATGCAACTCTTAATGTAATCCACATTCAGGGAATTTTGATAGCAAAACTAGACAAAATAATTGCATAAGGCATTCTTAAAATGCCTGCGTCCTTATTCTGTGCTATTTTTTATAATAATAAAAAGAAAGGAAAAGTGAATAAACAAAGATAAAAATTCTCCTAGGAATAAAGATTATTGCTATGCTCCATAAGAACTGAGTGGATATTGCCAGTTTATAACTTTTTTAACATTAAGAGGAATAACTCTGGATTGAGGCTAAAATAATAACAAAAACTTTTCAGAAAAAATAGATGTTGTCAGGATTTTATAGCTAAAGGTGCAACATAAATCTTGGAGGGTCCATTGTGAACCAAAACAGTTATTGCAAGATTGTATTATTAGTTCATGCCTTAAAACAAAATTGAACCGGACAAAGCACTTTGAAATGACTTTGGAATGACAAAGCATCCTAATGTGAATAGAAGTCAAATTTTGACAGTAATTAGCATAACAAATATAATTTTTTTATTATTTGCTATATTACCCAGGTGACATAGTATTCATTAATGAAACTCAAAGGTTACAGGGACAATAGTCAGTAAACTAAAAGTACCTTCACCATGTGTTATTTATAACTACCACATACTAAATAATCAATCATTACTTAACAAATTAAGCTAGCTTTGGAAAGGATGACTCTTTTCATTATAGAATATGCTTAGCTTCAGTTGAATTACTAAATATTTTTATTTTTATATTTTCTTACTACTTTATTAATCTCAGCAGCAAATACAGAAAAAAATTCAATTTTCTCTTTTTCTTTTATATCAAAATGACTTGCAGGGATGTTGGTTTATTAAACAATGTCAGTGGGTATCCTATATAATAAAAGCCTAATATGCAAATTGACCAAAAGAGCAGAATGACTGGTGGAATGACTGGTCACTATGATGTGCACTGACCACCAGGGGGCAGACACTCAATGCAGGAGCTTCCCCCAGCCTGAAATTCATGCATGGGTAGGGCCCCTAGGCCTGGCCAGTGATCAGGGCCAATGTACGGGGCAATTGGCAGAGCGACTGGGGGGCACCCCCTGTCACCCATCTTGGCTGGCCTGGGGGCCTGTAGGCTGGGGGCAGCTCCTGAGTTGAGTATCTGCCCGCTAGTGGTCAGTGCATGTCATAGCAACCAGTCATTCCTCCATTTGGTCAATTTGCATATTAAGCTTTTATCACATAGTACTAGAGGCCCAGTGCACGAAATTTGTGCATGGGGGATTCCCCTCAGCCCAGCCTGTACCCTCTCCAATCCGGGACTCCCTGGGATTGGGCCTAACCCAGCAGTCAGACATCCCTCTCACAATCCTGGACCACTGGCGCCTAATCGCTCATCTGCCTTCCTGCCAGGTTGCCCCTAACTGCCGCCCCTGCCAGCCTGACCTCCCCTCACTGCCTCTGAGTGCCGGCCTGATCACCCCTAACTGACCCTCTGCCGGACTGGTCACCCCTAACTGCCCCCTGTTGCTGGCCAGGTAGCTCCCAACTGCCCCCTCCCTGCCAGCCTGGTTTCTTCTAACTGCCCCCCTGCCAGCCTGGTCACCCCTTAATGCCCCCCCCCGCCAGCCTGGTCGCCTCTTACTGACCTCTCTGCTGGCCTGGTCACTCCCAACTGCCCCCCCCCCTCTGCCAGCCTGGTTGGCCCTCACAGCGCCCCCCCGCCGGCCTGGTCACCCCATGCAGCCTGCTGTTCAGTCATTTGGTCATCCCTCACTAACCCCCTGCTGGCCTGGTTGTAGGCAGCCACCTTGTGAGGGTGTGAGGGTTAATTTGCATATTACCTCTTTATTATATGCGTAGGATGTTTCTTTTCTGTGACTATGTGAGTAAATTTGTATATATATATTTCCAAATGCCCTACTTGCTTTTATTTTACTTTAGATTAATGGTTCCTCAGTTGTAGTCTGGATATTTTTGCTAGACTGTTGACTTAAAAATCAACTTGGAATCCTGTTTAAAATTTAAATTACAAGCTCCACTATGCAAAAGTTCAGTAAATGTGAGGTTAGTACCATAAGTCAACATTTTCTTGCCAACTTTGTTAATAATTAGTTAATAATTACTTTAGAACTCAATATTTGACTATTAGAAAGTTGTCTTTAATTATACAATGAGCAAGATTAAAAAAAAGAGAATATTTCTTCATAATTTCAGAAAAGTCTCTATGCCAATCTGCTAACTAAACAATTGGTTTCTTTTGTTTTACTAATCTAGAATCCACATATTTTATTTTGACAACTCTGTGGAATTTTCTAATTTACTTTTAAATGGAATGTTTTTATCTGACATTATTATAAAGGTTTCTCTTTTAAGAAAAATGGACATAAAGTTCATAAACAGTCACAAAATTCAAAATATTGTCATATTAGTTTATTTATAAAACAGTATATCATGGAACTAAACAAGTGAAGTAAATTTACATTTTCCCCCATAAAAAAACTGTTGACAAATACCAGTTTAAATGTCTTTTTATTTACATTCTTTTGATTCTTTTAATCCTGGAGAAATGCTTTAATAGCATGGAGTCTTGAAAAAATATCACCAGGAACTCACTCTAAAATTGTTGGTAGATTAGAATTCTGAATTCTGACAAAAACATATATTTTATAGTACTTGGCTTCATTATTATTTAAAAAAAATAGAAATAAGTCTATTTCTGTCTCTCTCAATGTATTTCTATACTGTATGCTATTAAAGGATGCTGGACTAATTCTTAGATTGAATTCACTAAAGCAAAAGGACAGTAAGCCAGACAGGTTGGAAAATATCTGTACATACATCACTCAGCTAGCCATTGAAATGAAAAATCCTCCTCATGGCAGGTGAACAGCCTGGAGGTGTTCAGTTTGTCAAAATGGATAAAGGATTTTATAGCATACTGTATTAATTTTTGCCAAGCAAGAACAACAACAACAAAAAATTCCACACAGATTAAGTATTTCAAATAAGGTCAGAGTACCATATATGTTTTAAATGTTTAAAGAATTACATATTCACATATTGTTTTTGTTCTTTTCTCAATAATATTTTATAAGGCATATTTAATAAGAGTTATCAAAGTTTCTACAAAACATTAGTTAACTTCAAAAAGGAATAGCCCACAGGAAAAAATAGCAGGCATCATGTGGCAAACAGGGTGACATATTAGTTTGTTGTGATACATCAAGTGCAAATATTGCTAAAAAAAATACCCAGTTATGAGGCTACAGAGTCTATCCCCCATTCGTACTCTATTCCATAAAGGGAATTGTTCTCCAGGGGCATCTGCTGAACGCATGTACAAAAGAAATGGGGTTGGTTTTATTAATTTACTTTCTTCACAACTGAATAGCCATAGCTTTATTCTTCCATTCCCCTTGGCACTACTTTGTTCCTTTCTTTAATAACAGTAAATGTGAAAAATCAGGATTTGTTTTATTCAGCTTCATTTCACTGGGACCGCTGTAGGGAGATGAGATTTGAAAGTGTTCACCATAATGTATAGGATATCTGGATTCACTTTACTGATGATGCAGTATCACTGAAAATGACTCACTTTGGGATGTGCAGCTTTATTAGAGCATTAAGTCTTGAACTCCTGACTCCCTTTGAGTGGCACCAGCAATTGCTTAGAAAAAATTGCTGAGATCTGTAAGTGCTATTCCTTTTTTCAATGTTCTATTGTCAGGGCTAACAGAGCTTGTTGGCAAACATAGTTACAACTAAGAAAAGTAGAACATTTGGGATAAGCTTTCTATCATACATAAATGTGTGTTTTTCTACTGAAAAGCTAATTCACATGATAACAATAATCCCTAGATAGAACTTTTCTATCTGATGCACCATTTCTTCAATTTAAGAGCTGAAAGTAAAATGATTAACACATTGGTCAAGATATTTATTTATATGTCACTTATATATAATATGAGAGACTAACAATAAACAAGAAAATATGAAATATATGTGTATACATATATAAATTTATATACCTATCTATAAAATATATTTATATATAATTTTAATTTTTTGAAGAAAAGAAAACAATAGCATAAGTGTTGAAACATGCTTTAACAATTTGAGCTTGCTACAGCAACAAAGTCTAACCTATTCTGGTGCTCTCCTCTATGAGACAAGCCGTTATATAGACTTAGACAGTGTTAAAAAAAGAAAAAGAAAGAAACATGCTTTATAATAAGTGATTATATATGCTTTATAAGTGATTAGTGCTTCATAAGAGAGATTTCTTGTGAAATAAAATTTAATTTGAGACTTGATGTTTAGAACAAGTCAGTTGTTCAGAATACAGGGAAAACAATTTACAAAGAAGGTCATCATATGTAAAGACCCTTTTTGGAAACCTTTTGGTCCGCCCTCGTCAGGCTCCCATCGACTGATGGCAAATTGGGAACTGGGGTGGGTGGCGGCAGGGGCACCCTGATTGCATGCTAGGCCTAGGGACCGTACCAGAGCACCATTGCGCTGGGCCTCTAGTTATCTAATAAAACACTTTGCCAGGTATATTTTTATGTAAATATGTATAAACATGTAATTATAGAATATAAAAATATGTATAATATTTTAGATTTAGAATACATATTTATATTACTATGAATATTTTTCTAGCAATGTAATTTTATTACATAAAATGTTTATAATTTTTAACATAACATTTTTATTCAACTAAAACACATTAGTATGCCAAGGGAACAGAACTACAAAATAGAAAATGAGAAGGGGGAAAAAGATAGGAAAAGATCCACAATGATCCAGATATTTGAATGAACTGATAAGGATTTTAATACAACTGTGGTTAACATGTTACAGAAAATACATGAAAAGATGGACAATTTCACTGCAGAACTAGAATTCATTAACCAATTTTGATTCTAGAATACAAAATATAAAATCTAAAATTCAAGCTCACTTTGAGTTAAAAGTAGTTAAGACTATAAGACTACTATTTTCCTATGTTGTGTATCTAAATATTTTCTTTAACATCGAATGAACAAATCTTGACTTTTTTATGGATTTTTAACATTTCTCAAAATTAACTTTTACTCAGGTCAAGATTGGTTTATCATTATTATATATTAATAATGAATAAACTAAGGTCATCTAAATTTAAATGTCCTTATAAATGTCTAGAATTTGATTTATATGAGAATTAAGAGTCACAAAACTATTTTTTTCAATAAATTACTTTCAGTGAAACTAAGAATCTTACCAATTTAATAAATAAATAATTTTTGTAGAACATTTTACTTTTATTTTATAACTACATGTGGCAATGTTATTTACTTGGAGTATAATTTTTGATATTCAGGAACTCTATAGGAATCATTCTTCCCACAGGGATGATTCTGTAGTTCTATGGAATAGCTCTCTCTTTTCTTATAGAATCCTCAGTGGGGAAACTCATACCCAATTAACCAGCATAGGAGGTAAAAAAAATCCTACTAGGTATAAGTTGAAGTTTAGTAATTACTTTTACTTCTTATACTTTATAACACTCATTGTATTTTAAATTATACAAACAGTACTTTTCAGTGATGTCCAAGAATGCAACTTGTACTCTAAAAAACATTCTCTTTGAATAATAACCATTACTCTAAGTTTGTTAGCTATTGGTGTAAACAGAATATATTAATATAGAAACACAGATTTGGGGTTCTGACCTCCTTATTGTTCCCAAGTGTCTTAGACAACAGTCACTTTCAATACGCTCTCACTGAGTGATGGACATTACCACCAGGCCAGCATGTGGTAGCTTATGGGTATTCATAGTTTCCTGCTAGGAGTCATAATCACTGCTGCTGCCGTGGTGTGATTTCTCAAGGAGGATGCTGCACTGTGCATGGGTACCACAGCAAAGGACCACTTTCTATTCAGCAAGCACTGCTTTCAAACTATCTTACTACTTAGAACAACCAGAAAAACTAGGTACAATATAAAAATAACCTTTGTAAATGCCTTGAGAACTACCAAAGGGGATACGGAGTATTTGTGGCAACAAACTTCAATACTAGTATGGTAGAGGAAGGATGTTCAGAGAGGTGAGTGAAGGTTTGGGAATGGGTTTCTGCTGAGGAATTTGCTAAATTTACAAGTAGCACCTAAAAGGTCTGATCAGTTATTGGGGAGTATGACCTTGTATGAAAACAGTGGCCCCACACCACTGGCTGTGGAAAGTGTCTGTAAGGGAGCTCATCTGATATGGAACGTGTCTAAATAAAATACACCTTGTGTGCCACTGTTACATTGATTCATGACTTCTTCATTGATCAGGTCCCAAAACCTTGAATTCAATGAATACAGAAATATCAATTGATCTTATACCCTGTGACCTTACTAAACTTCTCAATGTGTTCAAGTAATTTGTGTGTGTGTGTGTGTGTGTGTGTGTGTGTGTGTGTGCATGTGTAGTATGTATGCATCCTTTATGATTTTCTACATGAAAGCTCATGTTATCTGTTTTTTGAGATAATTTTACTTTTTTACTTTCTAATCTGTATGAGTTTAATTTCTTTTTTTTAACCTTACTTAACTGGCTATAACCCCCAGTACAGTTTTGATGGTTGAGTTTTTTTCTTTTATAGTTTATCCTGTGGAACCCCACCCTCCATGGTCATTGATGCCAAAAAGTGATAAAGTATGAGTGCAAGGAAGATTATGTGTGCCATTTGGACTACCTGCTATTAGAAATTACTAATGCCATCTTGTCTTGTTTCAGTGGCATGGGATATTTAAAATTTATACACATACATTTACGCCACATAAATAAAGCAAGTCCTACCATTAAATTCATCAGAACAGTGATAGCAAAG